CCAGCTGCAGAAAGGCACCTTCCGTGAGCGCGGCGACAAGATGTACTGCCAGGCCTGCCACGACAAGCTCTTCCTCTGAGCCCCGGCTGCCCCGCCAGCACACAGCCACCCTTCCTGGCTGGCTGGCCAGCCCTGCTATCCTTCCCACCATCACCAGCCCCAGCACCTTCCCTGCCAGGCCAGGCACCCCTGGCGTCCTCCCTGCCGAGCCAAACATCCCCTTGTATTGTCCCTCCCACCAATGTCCCCAGCATTGCTCCTGCTGAGCCAAATGTCCCAGCATTGTCTCTGCCCAGCCAGACAGCCCAGGCATCATCCCTTGTCCTCCTCCCCACAAGACATTCCTGGCATTGTCCCCTCCACCTGAAGCAATAAAACACCTGGCCCTGACTTTGCTCTGCTCGCTGGTGTCGTCATGGACAAGGGTGCAAGGCAAGGTGGGAGGACTGGAGCCTCCCCAGCCAGGTGAACCCACCAGTGCTTCCTACTGGAGCACTGCATCCCGTCTCCTACCGTGCCACCACTGGGGGTGGCTCTGCCCCAGCTGCCTTTCCCCTGTAACCCAGAGGACAGCAGCCCCAGCCCTGCACCCCTGCATTCCACTACCCCACGGCAGAAAGCGCTGCTTGGCACCCCACTGAGATCTTTCCAACAGCAACACAGCCTCGGTAAAAAGCCAGAAAACTGCTTCCAAAAAGGTGTTTCCACAAACATAGAGAATTTCTTTCTGTCTTTCTCTTCACACGCACGCAGGGGTAAAAGCAAAGTGAGTTAACACAGTGTTTGAGCCTGGCTTCAGTATTCCCCAGGAGGGGAACGAGCACGTTTGGAGCCTGGCCCCGCTCTGCAGCGGCAGCCCTTGTGCCAGAGGGCTCCCCCAGCCAGGTTTTTTAAGGATGCACCCAGCCCTAGAAAAATTAGGTTATTTCTTCATTTGTGCAAAGTCTAGCAGCCACCAGAGGAGAGGGGAAAATTTAGGGAAAGGCTTCCCAGCAGGAAGTCCTACTACTCTTGACAGCAAGGCAGGGATCACGGGAGCAGCCCCACGCACCCTGCAAAAATGGTTAGCAGCTCAGTACAAAGCAAAGTCTTGTGCTTCTCATTCTTCCTCCAATCTTTCGCTAGAAAGAGGAGGAAACACTACTCCAGCCCAAGAGAGGGGCTGTCAAGCAGTGGCATCTTTCAGAGCCACGCTCAAGAGCACAGCCCTAGCCCTACAAAAGGCACTTAGTCCCAACTGCGAAACCAAAAACACCAAGGTAGCAGTCATAGGTAGAAGGCACATAGACACACTTTAAAAACTTTATTTATATAAAAAAATCATTTTCTTTTAAAAGCGTTACAAGAGTGTGCACAGGAATCAGACAAGGAACTGCTGCTTGCTTCCCACTCCCCTCTTCCCTAACCCCACTCCCCAGTAGGGCAGCGGATGAGAGCAGGGGGAAGGTTTTTTTGGTTCATTTGGAATTAAAAATTAAAAGAGGAATTAGTGTTTTACAAATGTAAAGGAAAAGAGAAGAGTTAGACCCCAGAACAAAACCCAGCTGAGGCGAGGTGGGGCTGGAGCAAGGGAGGGCTCAGCCAGAGCTGGGAGCAGGCAGGAGCAAGGCACCAGCTCTGCCAGCTGCAGGCTCCCCGCTCCCCATGGGTGCCCACAGTTCAGGGGGAGCCCTAGGCAGGGGAGGGCTCCTGCTCCAGTTTGCAGCCTCCTACAGAGGCTTCCAGTTGCAGAGGGAGCCCAAGGACTCCCCAGAACATCACAGCACTTAGATGAGCCCCCCACCACCACAGCAGAGAGGAGGATGCATATGTCCTAGCTCCTGTGGCAGCCCAGTCTCCCCAGGACAGGACACAGATGAGAGCCCTGCACCCCATCAGTGAGGGCAGGGGGGCTGGGATGCCCCCCAAAACAGGCTTCCAGCCCCACTGCGGACAGTTAAGGCTCCCAGCAGGGAAGGGAGCTCAGCCCTGCCAGAAGCCTGGGAAACACCCCTTCCCCAGCAAAGAAGCCAGACAGTACAATTCAAAGAGCTATTTCACAGTGGCAAAAGAAAGGCACATGTCAAGAGAAAGCCCAAGGGGCAGCGCCACAGGCAGCTGGTGCGTGGGGCTGAGAGGGGATCCTGGCTTTACCCACTTGCAGCTATGCCAGCGCCTGTGCTTCACCCCAGGCACACAGCATGCCCCGAGAAGCCTGCCCTTCCCCAAAAGCCCTGCTGCATCTCCTCCTTCCCCAGGGACCCATCACCCCCCGCACTGACCATCATCCCCACATAAGGATCCCTCCTCACACAGCCACCAGGTGGGGGCCAGCACCACATCCAGATCCCTCTGCAGGATCCAGAGCCAGATCTCCCTTCCCATGTCCCCAAAGCCTCATCTAGGAGCAAAGCAAGAGAAGTTATTGCTGTTTTTCCTTCCCCTCACCGCCCCATGACTCCAGCCCCCTTCACACTGGTCCTGCCACCGCCAGGGAGGGATGCTCCCATTGTCCCCATAGCCCTGCCTGAAGAGTGATCCCACACAAAAATATATATCCTATAGGCAACAAAACAAACGAAAAGCCACCACCCATAAAAAAAGGTGGCAAGTGAGGTCCCAGTCTCCGTCCCTGTAGACGTCTCCAAGCAGAGGGAAGGCTTGGGAGAGTAGACAGTTCCTGGTCAAGGCAGAGATCCAGAGCCCTTTTGCAGCATCCATGCTGGTTGATCCAGCAGAGTCAGGCAGGAGGGTTTTACTCTCTGGAGGAAGGAGGTGGTGAAGGACAGGAAGGAAGAGTAATCGGTCAAGGTGTCCCAGAACAGGGAGATGCAGCAATCTAGAGGAGGCAGAGGGGCCCAGGCTGCCCTGGGGGACCAGGCCCAGTCATTTGGCTGGCTAGTTGGCACAAACAGTCCAGCAAAAAATCCAAAAATAAGACAAGGTAAAAGTCGGTCCATTCCACCATGAAGAGTTAGATATATTTATATATATAATATATTATCAACCCAGACTGAGTGGAGGCGGGGATGGCAGCTAGATCTTCTGCTGTGGAAAAAGAGGGAGAAACGTTAGCATGCCAGAGAGCGAGTGAGCAGTGGAGGCATGATCATGGCCCCGACGGATCAGGGCGGGGATGGCAGCCAGAACTTCTGCTGTGGAAAAAGAGGGAGAAACGTTAGCATGCCAGAGAGCGAGTGAGCAGTGGAGGCATGATCATGGCCCCGACGGATCAGGCAGCAGCAATCATAGCAGAATTTGGCTGGCCAAAGCACCCCTAACAGTGCAGCAGGATCTGTCACCACTGTTCAGATTGGGCAGGACACTGCAGGACATACCGACACAGGGGAACACACAGCAGCAGCATCCTCTGCCTCCTCTACCTCAGGCTGCGATTCTTGCCCCTCCTCCTGCTGCAGACACATGGGGGTTAGTAGCGGCGATGAGGTGGGGTGGAGGGGGGTGTTAGTTGTGGAAGCCCAGCTCTCCCTTCCACCTGCCAGCCAGGACAGCGATGTGTCATCTCCTGCACCCCAGTCCCGCTCACACTTCCCTCACTAGGAAGAGCTGCTCACCATCAGCGGTGCTGCCTTCACCAGCTCCGTATCTCCAAGGTCACCAGATCGGTCCAGCGTCCTGCTGTGGTCCCTCTCGTTGAGTGTGGAATAGTTGTCTGGAGCAGGAGAGGGGACAGTCACTCACTTCCATCACCTCCATGGGAGGCAGCATCGTCCCCACAGGAGATGTGAGCTCTGCCCCCTCCCAGCACACCAAGGAGTCAAGATGCCCCCCCTCCAGTCCCTCTCCTACCTGGTCCCATGTTGCTCATCTGGATCTCCTCCCGGGAGGATTTCTTGTCTACAAGCATGGGAGAGCAGCACATCAGACAGAGCCCCTGCAGCCACGAGCAGCAGAGGAACCACTACCCATCCCAGCTGGAAAAGCCCAGCTGCAGCCACAGCACTGCTGACCTAAGGATGCTGCAAGACCTATGTTAACTGCACGCATCATTTCTAGCCCCAAGAAGCCATCTAAAGCCTAAAGGTCTTGTGTGAGCAGCTGTGGCTGTCAGGAAAGGCAGCGCTGAATAGCAGGGAGGGGACAAAGGCTGAAAGGAAGGCACATACCTGTTTTTTGGTTCCTGTCGATGAGAGGCAAGGTGCTGTCATCAAACGAGTTGCCTCCCTGGGTCCGAGAGGTATTGCTCAGGTTCACCTGGAGCATCAGACAGTTACCACTCACCCCCTGACCCAGAC